TGTGTGTGTGTGTGTGTGTGAGTGAGTGAGTGTGTGTGTGTGTGTGTGTGTGTGTGTGTGTGTGTGTGTGTTTATTGTTTGTTTACTTGAAGGTTTCGTACGCATATTGTAGTACTTACGGTCAAAGTAGGAAAGTTGTGGCATGACCATGTTAGGAGTACTATGGGTTAAATTAGATTTCTCAGGGGGCGGACTGTTTTGGTCCCTGCCAATGTGATGTATATTATACCCATGCTAAGAGACAAAACTTGAGACACACCGAAGTTTGCTTTCTCAAATCACCGAAAAGAGACTCAAATATCTTAGTAACAGAAACAGAAAAAGGAAAAAAAATGACCTGATGACAATTGTTGCGCTGCAGGGTATTAGAAAGGAGAAAAAAAAGGGGGTGGGGGGAGAGACTTCCTTTACCATGTACAGAAGACGTAATGACTAAGAATGGTCTACTATGTCATGAAATTAAACTTCAAAGAAGAAATCGGGAAAGATAAAGGTCTTGTTGTTACCCGTAGTAATCGAATAAACGTCCTCTTCGTTTCTTTGGTCGGGTATTCCCAATCGATATCAAATCCGTCGAAGCTTCGTTTCCTCAAGAATTCAACGGCATTTTGAGCAAACCGCTTGATGATGATGTCATTCTCTGTCACAGTCACAAAACCGGACCCGTCATCGAATTGTCCGCCAACTGACAGGAGAGTCTTCAACCGAGGGTTCTGTTGTTTCAGTTTGTTGAATTGGCTGTGTGGAGATAGAAAAGGGTATCTATCTATCTATCTATCTATCTATCTATCTATCTATCTATCTATCTATCTATCTAACCAAACAAGCTATACATTCTCTTGACGTAAAATGTTCATATGGCCTTATACAGCTGCAACTGCCGTAAAACTGTCTTACTAAACTGAACTAAAGATAATATGTCAAAATTGTATAAGTTTAACGTAACTTGCATCACTGTAAAGTTCTTTAAAAGGTAAAACCTCCGAATTCAACGTCCTTCTCCGACAAGGGTCTTAGTAAATGGGAAAATTCGTGCAAAGTGCCTTTCTTAAGGACTCGGCGTCGCACCGAGCTGAGCCCTCGAACCCCTGAACCCGCAATCTTACTATTACAAATCCTCTGCGCTATCGACGCCACCTCTTTTTGTGAGCATCCACTTTAAAATAAGATAAGATAAGATAAGGTAAGATAAGATATTCCATTGGCCTTTCACTATAACAAATTAGCCATGTGCTGTCAAGAGCTTCTGCGACACAACTATACACAGATCAACTCATATCAACACGTTGTCCCAGTCTAACATGATTTTTTTTCTTTGGTGTTATGTTTTGTTTTTGTTTGTTTGGTTGTTGTTGTTTTTTTTCAGTATTTTGTGGTTTGTATTGTAGGTGGTTACCAAAAAAGACCCCCCCCCCCCCACACACACACACACACAAACATGAGAACCCTGACAACACACGTTTCATGAGTATAAAGACAGACTCCTTCCCATAAACTTCCCACATCTCATCTTCTTACCCATATTTCCCTATGTGCCCAGGTCTTGCATCCTCCACCAAGGGCTCGAAAGGGACAAGGAGTTTGCTCTCCACATCTATCTTCCCGAAGGCGTAGATGAGATGGGTGCAGAGGGACGGGTCAATGTCCGCCACGTCAAACTTGGCGTAGTGAGACTTGCGATGGACTGACCAGCTGGTGAAGTAACACACTCGAAGAAACTCATTACACTCGCCTGGGGAGACAACGGGATCAGTTGTTTGCTTGTTCATTTTGATTGTTTGGTTGGTTGATTGGTTGGTTGATTGGTTGGTTGGTTGGTTGGTTGGTTGGTTGGTTGGTTGGTTGGTTGGTTGGTTGGTTGGTAGGTTGGTTGATTGGTTGGTTGGTTGGTTGGTTGGTTGGTTAATGTTTGTTTGTTGTCTGTTCTTTTTTCTTGTTTGTTTGCTTCGTAGTACTTCCAAAAGCGTTATCTATTTTCTTGTCTCCCTTTAGCAAAGTAAGATGACATTGTGATGTAGGTGAACTAAGACCTGAGATTTTTTCGCTACATGTGTACCTAGGGGGGGGGGTTGTCTGTTTGTTTGTTTGTTTTGTTGGGGGGTGGCTTTTTTAGAGGGGGGAGAGGGTGCCGAAAGCCTAAACGAAATGGGAGCAGGGGGATGGCCAATGTCATTGGTGTAGTGAGACTTGCAATGGACTGACCAGCGGGTGAAGTAACACACTCGAAGAAACTCACTACACTCGCCTGGAGAGACAACGGGATCAGTTGTTTGCTTGTTAATGTTTGATTGTTTGGTTGGTTGGTTGGTTCATTGGTTGGTTGGTTGGTTGGTTAATGTTTGTTTCTTGTTTGGGTTTTTTTGTTTGTTTGTTTGTCTGCTTCGTTGTACTTCCAAAAGCGTTATCTGTTTTCTTGTCTCCCTTTAGCAAAGTATGAAGACGTGGTGATATAGGTGAACTAAGACCTGAGATTTTTTCGCTATGTGTGTGTGTATATGTGGGGGTGTTTGTTTGTTTGTTTGTTTTGTTTGGGGAGGGTGGCTTTTTTAGAGGGGCGAGAGAGTGCCGAAAGCCTAAATGAAAAAGGAGCAAAGGGATGGTCAATGTTGTTGACGTAGTGAGACTATCGGTGGACTGACCAGCTGGTGAAATGAAATAGCACAGTCGGAGGAACTCGATACACTCGCCTGAAGAGACAACACGGTCAGTTGCTTGTTAATGTTGGATTGTGTGTTTGTTTGTTTACATGTTTGTTTGTTTTGTGGGATTTTAACAAACTTTTTAATTTGCATTTTCTCTGTAATACGAAACATGATGACGTGATTATAGAGATGGGGTTTGTTTTTGTTCTCTTTCGGTCATTAATCTTGTTTCTTTGTTTGCTTTCTTGTTTTCTTTACTTTTTTTGTTATTGCTTGGGTTTTTTTCATTATTATTAGACTGTTTTGTTTTGTTTGTTTGGTTGGGGGGGGTTGGAGGGTGGCCTTTTTTAATTTGGAAAAAAGGGGGGGAAGGGGTATTGTCTGATGCTGTTGTTATATTTTAGGGGGTGGGGTTGGGGGGGGGAGATTGTTTCTGATTTTGTTTGGGGTGTCTTTTGTAGGAGGTAGGGGTTGGAAAGGGGGGGGGGGACATGCTAAACCAAAGGACTGCAGAAACATATATTGCATGCTTGCGGTTTTAGGGGCCACAAATAGATGGATGCTGTCGGAACAAGGAAGGTTTAGAAAGAATGAAGGCACGGGTCACACTAGATAATGTCCACTCAACGGACGGCTACGAAGTATGACGTCATTTAATCGCAGGGACAGAGGAGAACGGACACAAATCGCAACAGCTGTATAGATCTATTCACAACCATGTAGAGTATGAAAAGTTTTCTTGTGTGTGCCGGGCCATAGGCAAGTGTGGACTTGCAACTTTGAGATCTTTTTCTGTTTTTTCTTAGTTTTGCTTAATTTATTTTTTCTTTAATCTTTTTGTTTTTTAAAGTTCAAGACCTTCCCATATCTCATATGCAATTCCTCTTTATAAAATTATATTGTCTGTTTCCAACTTTATGACTAAAACGGTTCAGATTGCTTTTTGTTTAATTACATGTAATTACCTCGCACAAAGAGAGGGATAGAGAGAGCGAGAGAGAGAGGGAGAGAGAGAGAGAGAGAGAGAGAGAGAGAGAGAGAGAGAGAAAACTCGCATGATATACTGACTTTGGCAGTTCATTCCCAAGACAACCAGGGGCGGCTCGTCCATAGAGCACGGTTGTGCACTGCCGCCCAAAATTGTTAATGCCCAAAGCACCCACAAAGAGACAATAAAATAACCTTTAACATGCACAAAGATCCAATCCATTTCCAATACAAATTCCTCGCCAGAGCCTAAACGGTAATCATAACAATAGAGTGAAAGAATTAGGTCCTCATCAACCAAAAGATATCAAAGTAATACAACCAACAAAAAGGTGCAATCGTGTTTTCAATACGGATCTTTTCTAAACAGTGAAATGGCTTACTGTCAGCGTTAGCAAACACTCACTGTACTGCTTTTTGGAACTGAGGACGCCAAGTGGTCTAAGACAGGTTTTACTGATCTTGTCCATGTGAAACAAAGCATTAGAAAACACGAATCATCAAAGCGCACGTCAACAATGCCGTTAAGTATCACACTTTCGGAGTAGTAGACATAGCAGCGCAGCTAGACGTTGGTCATCGCATTGCAACGTCCCTCTATAACGAACGGGTGAGAAAGAACAGGCACGTATTGGGTAAGGTTATCGAGTGTATTTTGTTCTGTGGAACTCACGAGCTCGCCCTTCGCGGTCACGAAGAAGGTGATTTGTCGGGGAACAGGGGTATATTTCTTGATTTACTGCACAGAAACGCTATTACTGACAGGATACTGTTTGATCATCTGCAAACTGCTACTGTTGCAAAATATACTTCCAAAATAATACAAAACGAACTGCTTGACTGTATTTTCAAAATATACCACGAAGAACTGATTAAGGACATACGCTCTGCCAACTTTCTTTCTGTTCAGGCTGACGAAGCAACTGATGCAGGTCATTTGTCACAGTTTGTGATCATTCTGGGGTATGTTAAGGACGGAAAACCGGTAGAGCAGTTTCTAAAGTTTTTAAAGTCAAAGACAGAACTTCGTCAGGGTTCGTTTCAACCCTTAAAGAAGCTTTAGAACCATTCAGCGTCGAGGAGAAGCTGATCTCCCAAACCTACGAAATGGCAGCTGTAATGAGCGGGAGAGTCTCTGGTGCACAGACTCAGATGCGCCAATTTTTCCACGCTGTCTTCGTTCATTGCTATGCGCATCAGCTGAATCTTATTTTAAAGCAGGCTTGTTCTGGCATATCAGACTGCAGGATATTTTTCGCTGACGCTACAGGCTTTTCGACATTTTTTGCCCACTCTACAAAGCGCATTGACGTTCTCAGACGCGTTTGTCATCGGAATATTCCACGGCCGTCTGAGACAAGGTGGAATTTTCAGTCTCGACTCATTAACACAATCTTCACTTTGAAAGGAGAGCTGCAACTCTGTCTTGAAGAAATTCAGTCTCAGCACTGGGACGACAACACCACCCACGAAGCCTGTGGTCTTTTGAATGTATTAAAGGGCGATACATTTCTCTTCTTTTTGCACTTTTTCAACAAAGTGTTCACGCACGTTGACGTTGTGTATGGGATCCTCCAACACAGAAGTACAACGCCCATAGCAGCCCAACAAGCTTTAGAAACGTTTAAAGCCGCCATCGAGGAAATTAGAAACAGTATAAGTGTTCCATCAACAAGTCAGACAACTGAAGAACGCGCTTCTAAGAGACGCAGACGTCATAACACAAACGAAAGTGCTGCAGTGGAGGCCTGTGGCATAATAGCTACTCAAGTTGTTGACCGTTTCTCAGATCAATACACTATCAATCGCCGACCCCTCCAAATTCCAGGACAATCAAAGTCGTTTCCTACTGTTCTTTTGGATCATATATCAGAAAGCTACTCTGTTTTACACAAAATCAAGTTGCAAGCGGAATTAGAAATATTATATTGCAATGAAACCTTTAAGTCTGCTCAGTGTCGTACAATTCAGGGCCTTTATTCAACTCTCAAGGACTACAAACTCGACACAACCTTTAGAGAAGTATGCAAAATCCTTGAGATCGCACTGACGACACCATCTACGTCTGTAGAGGCTGAACGAAGCTTCAGTACACTGAAACGAATAAAGACATTCTCCCGTTCTACAATGGGACAAGAGAGATTGAATGCTCTTACATTTATGTCCATCCACAATGACATCATTGGTAGTATCCCCAACTTCGTCAACAGAATAATGGACTCCTTTGCTGAAGCCAAAGAACGAAGGATAGACTGCTTCTTCAAGTAGATATTCTCCAAACAGGTAGGATGAAGAATACATCTCATTTTCCATGCCCTTAACTATATTCAACCTTCTTTAAGTTAAATGTGCACGCCACCTTTTTTGACCCACGAGTCGCCCCTGAAGACAACGGATATTAAACTGACCCATTCAAAAGCATAATTATAACTGATATAAGAAGAAAAAAATAGTGGCATATAAACAGAGATAAAAACCTATTTCGGTTTGGGTTTTTTCCGAGATCTACGTTTTAACAGCGACATTTAAAAAATGTGACAAAGGCTGTGCGGTAAATACGTCTACATCTAGTGTTTTCAACAGCTTTGACACTTTAAAAAAATTCTCATGTTATTCTTTGCGTTATTCCTTTAAAAAAATTCTCATGTTATTCTTTGCGTTATTCCTTTAGGCCTTGGGGTATGGATGGTCTTGTTTTGTTTTGCTGTTTTTTCTCCTTAAATGTTTTTAAAAGATGGTTGTCGTTGTTTTTGCTTTTGTTTGTTTGACGTTTGCTTGTTTTGTTCTATTTTGTTTGTCTGTTTGTTTTTTAAGTTTGTTCATTTGTTGTTGTTTTTGTTGTTTTCTTTTGGGAGGGTAGGTGAGGCATGTTGGAAGGAATTGTTTGAAGGAAGCCCCTACCTCACTGAATAAAAACCACATCTTTTCAAAATAGAAGCTGAAAACGTATTTCTCCGCCTAATCATCCTCCCCACCCCCACATCCACATGCACACCCACCCCACCCCAACTCCCACCTCTACCTCAATACTCACGCCAACCACCACCACCTCCACCCCCAGCCCCATCCTCTCCCATACCCCATCCCAACCACCACCCCCACCCCCATTCTCACTCTCACCCTCACGTCTTGCTGCGTCACCAGGCTGAGACAAAGAGTAGAGCAGAACGAGCAATACAAACTGGACCAGAATGTCGAATGTCACAGTGGCCATGTTCTTTCTCTGGTGCCCCACTTCTTGCTAAAACAGGCCTTCATCTTCCCCGGTCTCTGCTTTGATGTATTATTTCATGAAGTTTCGCGAGACTACTGTCGGGTTTTACTTTTTCAATGTATGATGCAGGAGCTCTTTCCTTGTTTCTCTTTACCCTTCTTTTGACCTGCAGCACAGTTGTCATCAGGTCCGGTTTTAATTTTTAAAATTTCAAAAAAGTTTTATTTCATTTTGGACTCTGTTTTGTTGTTGTTGTTGTTGCTGTACAGTTGTTGTTGGTTTTTTGTTGGGTTTTTTTTTGGGGGGGGGGGCGAAGGTTCTCTTATGTAGATCTAGATCTATCTATTTATTCATTTTTTATTATTCTTTGATTTCATTTATTTATTTATTTATGTATTTATTTACACTTTTTCCTGTTTTTAAGTGTTTTGTTTTGGGTTGGGTTGTTTTAATTTTGTTCTTTTTTTTAGAGAGGCGGGGGTATGTTTGCGCGATCAAATTGGAATGTACTGTGTTGTAGACACATGTAACTCAGCAAAGATAAAAACTAATGCCAAAATTGAAATTATGTCTGCAGTTGCAATCAAGCATACATCTACCATTAACGGATTCGGACATATTTGGCCCCTTGGAAAATAAAGTTAATAATCAAATATTACCCGATGCTCGGGAGGTTTTTGGGGGGATGTTCGGTTGACATTTATCAAATTCGCAAATAGTGGAGACAGAAACCCTTTTCCACAGCTCTTTTGGCGTGCTAATGTATTTGAAAACAAAAGATCTGTCAAATAGATATTATCCGCAAGATGAAACAAGTACACAAGGCATGCTCTCTTTAGCGTCAGTGTGTGTGTGTGTGTGTGTGTGTGTGTGTGTGTGTGTGTGTGTGTGTGTGTGTTTGTGTGTGTATGAGTGTGTATGTGTGTGTATGAGTGTGTATGTGTGCATTCGTGTGTTTGAATGTTTGCATAATACAATATAATGTTTGAGAGAAAGAGAGAGAGAGAGAGAGAGAGAGAGAGAGAGAGTAGAGGGAGAGAGGGTGAGAAGGAGAGAGGGAGAGAGGAGGAGATAAAGAGAGGGAGAGAGATAAACGGGGATTGGGGAATGGGGTAGAAACAGATAAATACGGTATACAACTATGCATAGAACAAAGTGTTCTTCTAAACATATTTCAAAATGAAATCGTGTGTGAGACAAACAAGACAATAAGACTACTGTGAAGGCATAGATCTAATGCGCCGAATAAAAGTTATAAAATGCATTTTGTTATTTGTTACTCACCAACTGAAGCGCACCCTCAGTTATCTATTGTCAACACGTATCATACCTTCTGTTTTTCCTAGCTAGAGCTATGTTTGGTTTGCGTCATATGATATACTCAAGTAAAAACAATGCAGTATGTCTACATTTCAGAGGCAAGAATTCTAACTTGAATTTCAACTTCACTGTTTGAAGCAGTCCAACGGGGATTCAAACTGGGATCACTAGCAAAAATGCCCATTTTGTGTCTTTTCAACAGCGGATGAAATATAGGCCCTGGTGTCATTCGAAGAGAAATGAAAAAAAAAACGTAGTGTAGAACTACGATAGTGAATAATCCCTGTGGCTGAGAGAGAACTCATTAATCGACATCATATTGACATGTTGCTAGTTTCTAACACATCTTTGTTGAATTTGCACCTACTCTGTTGAAACTAGAATTACATCATGGCGTCAAACTCGGCTCTGTTGAATTTGAGCCCTGTAAGCTTACATTTTGGTTGCTCTGATGTGATATTTTCTCTTTTCTTTTCTGACGTTTGAACTTTCTGTGTTAGAACAGAAATGACAGTGTTGCATAAATTCCTTGATGATGTATTTGATTCGTAAAATGTGACATGTGGTCGGGAAAAAGTGTATAAATATTCTATAAACTTACTCGCAATTACAAACATAAGCAGGACAAGACCTAGGCCGATAGGATTGCGTTGCAACACCATTGTACCTGGAAAACAACGGATAAAAATGATATGGATAAAAATATTTAGTAATTAAAATTACGAAAGTCTGTTCCTTCCATCTTTAAAGCACTAAGTTACTCGATACTACATTAATATCTATCGTCTCTTTTCTAACATTCCTGTCCTTTTCTGTATTTTGATTAATATCATTCTGTTAAATTAATTAATCTCTTCGAATTGGGGTGGACCTTCATTATGATCTTGCTAGAATCTGGCGTAATCAAAGAATAATTCAACTGATCTTGGAGACTTCAAGATAGTTTTTCATTAAGATTAGAGATCAAACATTGATTAAAACGTACAAATTACAATCCGAGTTTAGCTTAATAGTTACAGAAAAACAAGACATAGAGTCTCGGAAGAATATCAAGTTGGCATTACATTAAGCATAAAGTATGCAGTCCCAAGCCATATTTACATACGTACTTTACGGAGCTATGAGAGGCACACAACTCAAGGATTTACTCCAATCTTACCTGTGCGTTCCCCAAACACGACCACTCACTGGATCTACCGTCAAATGAACGTCCTCTATGTGATAAGTACTAACTTCCACCCCGCCAGGCCCACCAGTGCACACCCTAATGTCCGTCACTGATAACGGTCGTGTCGTCACATCGGCGTGCCCCGTTGTCAAACACTCACGACATGGAATCTATTTCGATGCAAAAATGTAGGCGGATGAAAATATACTCCCTTCCAATTCCC